GGTGGGTGGGTGGGTGAGGGAAGTGTATTTGCAGCGAGCGGCGTGGGTCTCAGCGCGTGGGGACCTTTTTTCAGCGCCCCAAAGGGGCTCCAAAACGCAGGTATGACCGTAGACAAAGCGTGAGAAAGACTTCAAAGACCTGTAGAGGGCTTTGTCTGTGCTCATTCAGATTGCCGCGGGAAGGAACAGAGAGAGGATTTCATAAGAAGATCGAAAGCCCCGCTCAGACTTCTCCGGGCACTAGAGATAGTCTCATCGTAACTAACGTTTACACGGCGCCACGGTCAAGTCCGTGGGAGGACTCACGGCAGAAACAAATTTTCCCACAGCTTAAAGGAAACACTGCATAGACCTCCACGGGCGTGGGACGCTGCACGGAAAAGCTGCACTTTCATCAACTGTCTACGGAAGAAACATCGTTACAGTTCGCGAGGGAACGGTATCCTGTGATTATACTTAGGTATGAAGATATGTCTTGGGCGTGCTCTTCGTGCGCGGAGAGGGGTCAATATGCGACCTCCTCGAAGACTTGTGCCACGGGCGTAGACTGGCTGATCAGACATCTGACAGTTCGGAGCAATCTCGACTCTCAAGGCGGACAACAGAGTTCTCTGCCATTACCCACAAGGCAAGATACAACAAGAATTATCACGGACACAGAAAGACCCTTCTGGTCTGGACTTGAAGCCCAGATCGGCCTCCTTTCATGAACCAGCAGGATGAAACAATCAGAGCTCACGTGGTCCAGGAACGTGCGTTGGAGGCAAAGATGAACAGAGCGACAGCGGCGGAGATCGTCACGCGTCAGGTTTGGAAGTGGAAATCGAGGTAAGTTAGCCGTACTAGCTCGTGCGCTTTGCCAGAAGATGGACGTACGTGCACTACCAAGTACAGGGACTGAGGGGTTCAGGGAAACCAGAGACAGGAGAAGCGGAGTCACGGAAGCATGACCTTCGACTGCGATCAGTGTGGGCGACGCATGCCAAGATAGCAGCGAGAGATTTGCCCCGGCCACTTGTCAGCAGCCCCTCGAGCAAAGCCAAGCTAAGCTTCATCCTCGCTAGCGGGAACCAATGGACCGGGAACGGCTTCGTCGAAGATTTCGTAACCAGCACAGTTGGTCTTATCGAAAGAGCATGACTTGCGTCCTCTGTTTCAGCGGCACATAGTGATGTCAGTAAGCCTATTTGGACAGAACGCAGACCTCTTGTCTTGAATCTCATGAGAAGACAATGAGCTTACCCTATAACACAGCAGTGTAGAGGGGCGCCTGCCATAGCGGCGCCGAATGCTGCAGCAGAGAGAGAAAAGAGAATGGTGAAGAGCTTCATGTTTGTGGGAAAGGCTTGTATGAACGTTGCTTGGTTGTGAGAGTGTGAAAGATGGAAGCTTGAGGTTGAGGTCGAGAGGTGAGAGCGCCTATTTAAGCTTGTTGGGGTCCCAAGCTTGCTACTGATCGCTCCTGTCCAGGAGGTGTCTAGCTCTCCGATAGAAGCAGCCATGAATAGCCGGGAGTGTTAGTCAGTCAGAGATGCCGAGTGTGGGCTAGATTTGAAGGTGGTTAGAAAGCATTCGTAGCAACATCGTGGGAGTCAGTAGCTTGGATCAGTCAGATCTGAGAATTTCTTCACATCAACGCTGGCTACCGTGTTGGGGCCTTCATCGTTCGGCAATCGGCTTGACAATGCTGCAACCTCCCGGGCTCACGCATTGTCTTGCTTCTCAATCTTTTCCCATCTCACTGGTCGCGCGAGGCGATACTATACCATACATGCTGCGCCTCACACGTTATTACCGATAACAAAGCTCATCCGCAATGAGGTGCGGCCTTATCGCGTAAAAACACGTTGCACATCACATCGCCACCCGTGCAAGGCAACATCAATCGCCGGATAAGTGAGAGACTATCTCGATATTGCCTGACCAGAAGTGCGAACACACACTACAGGAGATTGGTCAACCGGGTTCAAAAGGGCATCGGCAACCGACCCGCACAAGATCGCTATGTTGATGTTGCTTAGCTTCAGTTGCCCGGCGTAGAATCCTCGGACAGGTCGCCGTGAATTTGAGGATCGTAAAGTACAGAGCCAAAGTAGCAAGAGCCAGTGTACTTTTCGACGCAGTAACCCAGTCGACTAGTCGCACAGAATACATCAGATGTCAGGATTAAGATGCTTGACACATGCTAGAATGGTCTCAATAAGCGGACGTACCGTGAATAGTAGTGATAGATGCAGCACATTTGCGTCCTGGCGTTGCAAGATTCGCAGATGGCCAAGGCAGTGAAAGCCACAAGGACGATCGTGGCAATCAGGATGGCGATCTTCATGTTTAGAGACCTGCCTGGAACAAGTAGCTTTTCGCCAGTCAAGAGGAGCTTTGGACAAGAGAAGGCACGATATCATCCAGGTTGAGCGCTTATATCTTCGGGCCAGCAAGACATTCGATTCTCGCGAAGAGGTCGTCGCAACAAGCCTATTCAGAGTGTCAGTCGGACGCCTTGGTGAGAAGGGCTCTGTGCTGCTACCGATATCGAGGAGACACACTGAGCTTGTTGGGCGAAGCACGAACACACTAATGAGAGGATAGGGGACCGAGATTCGAGGCGGACCAATCGAGCCACACCCACAGACAATTGACTGCGTGGGTACTGCCTTATCAGAATCAACTGTTCATCATCAGACGTCTTCGCCTGATGGTAGCTTGATGAACTGTTCTTTCTCCCTTTCTCACGCTGCCATGAGTCGAGTTCTATTACCTCGCCGGTCTTGAATTGTGGGGTGGCAGGGAGGCCCTGTTCATGTCAATTTTCTGCTCGAAGCTCCAAAGCTTCCTACATATGGAGAGGCTGAGTCTGTGATAGCGAAAATCGCCCCACTTTCGCTCACAGCCCTGTCGATGTGAGTCGTCACTCGTGAGCAGGTGACCAACCGGCCCGCTTTTGCCGCTACCTCAGAAAAGCGCAGATGTCCGGAGGGAAAGGAGAAAAGTGAAGATAAGTAAATCAATTATTATATATTATAATTCAACCAACGGTCAAAGGTCGCGGCTGAGAGCGGGCTCCTTTTTCAGAGGCGTGAAAGCTTTCTTTGCATTCGGCTCGCTTGACAGGTTACCGCCGATCGTTGGTCGGTGCGGGGTAATCAATAATGCTGAGAAGTGTGTGATATGAGCTCTTATCACCAGAACCACCATCAACATCTAGCAGCATCGATCAGCAGCTTGATCGCTTTTGCCGTCATGTCGAGCTCGAGGTCTTCAACATCGTCGGTGGTGGCACCCGTCAAAGATGACCTCAACAGGGCCATGAACCATCGAGTCAAACCTAATTCCTTCACGATCGATCGGATCGTCAACAGCCTCTTTCGGCCGCTCTTTCACTCCAAGGCGCTCTCGACGATCGCAACCATCCTGTCACTAGTCAAGATTGTTGGTGGCACGACTAACCTGCAATTTCTTCGCGACAGGCAAGATTTGAGCCGTCGCGAGAAAGTCTCGTCGCTTGCGGCTGACTTTCGCGCCGGATGGAGCAATGGAGCAAACCGACTGGCGAAATGGTATCTGCTGATCCGCTTGTTCAAGATCATCAATGCGATCGGAAATCGTCTGATCATCGACCGACAGCCTCGACGTCCGATCCGATGGAGCGAGCACGTGGTCGTCATCACGGGCGGTGCCAGAGGTATCTGCGGCCACGTTTGCAAGCTTCTTCGTCAAAAAGGGGCCAAGGTTGTGGTGCTCGACTTGCCGGAGAAGTCGGAACACGGACTGGAGACTCTGTACGTTCAGGCGGACGTGACGGACATCAAATCGCTTCTCAACGCCAAGAAGCAGGTGGAGGAAAAGCTCGGCTACTGCACCATGCTGCTGCTTGGCGCCGGTATCGCTCGACACTCACTGCTCCTCGACACCGAAGAGCAATTCCCCTACGAACTTGCAAAGCAGGTCTCCGATGTCAACTACCACGGCGTCATGGCAACGCTCAAAGCGTTTGGCGAGCACATGCTGCCCGACGGCGGCGTCAAAGATCGACCCTTCAAGCAGGCCAAAAACGGTTGGGGTGGACACATTCTCATCATCGGCTCAGGTGCTGCGTACATCGAGCTCCCCGCCAATGCCGCATACAACGCATCGAAAGCAGCAACGGTCTCGCTGCATTCTTCGCTGTCGTCGGAGCTCCACACGTATCACAAGGTGGACAACGTTCGAGCTTCGATCATCTGTCCTCTGAAGATCGAATCCAAGATGACCGAGGGTAGGATGCTGGACACGCACGACCAATTTGCTCTACCGACGCTGACGATTCCGGAAGCTGCGGAGAAGATCGTCGAGGTGCTGGAGGGCGATAAGAGCAGGATCGTATACATTCCGAGGGCGATGTACGTGATGAGCTACAACAAGATGCTGCCGGCGTGGGTGTTGAGGGCATTGCACATTGGATTGGGTGCTACGGATACGTTCTTGACGTATGCGAGGGAGAACCGTAGTGCAGAGAACAACATCCATCAGAAGTAACTGTGTTGGGTGGAAGTCAGCTCGCCCAAGCAATGCAGTAGGCTCGAAGATTGAGCCCAACATACAGCATCTTACCCTGTATCGAGCGAAGGGACAATGACGGCTGCCGGTCTTGGAAGCCGATACCTCAGACCTGATCGTCGACAAGAGATCCGCGGATGCCCATCTGAAGAGGCTCATGAGTTCGCCAGAGGCGCAATCTGTGACATGATCGCCATGTTGAGGCCAGAATGAATCCGATCTACATGGCTGCAGCGTCGGAAGCAATGCGGGGTAGCGGCCTATTGTCCCGAACCCGCCGAGCACTTGTTCGCGAAACGGACAGGAGTTGAGAGCATGTTCTTTTTCGATTCAGGGGTTTTGAGTAGAATCAGGTGGTGCTTGGCACCGCTCCATCCTTCCCAAAAAAGACAATACTCTGTCCAGGCTGTCAAGGAACAAAGACTTTTGTTAGGATCTTCTTCTGTCGTCGACTGCGTGAACGTGTCTGCAGGTCTGCGATAGGTCCGAGCTCTGTTTGTGAGAGTGTGGCAGCGGCAGTCATATCGGCCCGTGCAGCCGGAAAAGCGCGTGCCTTTGCGAGAATTCCATGCTCGGCGTGCCAAGAACTGTGCTTCAGGGGAGATCTACATCGTAGTCGCGAACCGACCGAAGCCCCTGATGCACCACAGACACATCAACCGCATTGATACAGTAATGAAGCCATCTTACAGTACAAGATGAGCTACAATCCTTTGTGCGACAGACACTCGTTGCCATCCCAAGCATAGGACCAGTTGAGTTACTCCACGGACGAATCAAAGTCTGACAATCCAATTGATAGCCGGCAGCGGTTTATCGGATCTGCAGCGACCACATGCTGTGCAGCGAGCGCACTTTGCTGTGCTGTCGCCTTTCCGGTGTGGCGCGTCTCTCCTAAGCTTTGTCCCAAAACGCGAAACGAGTCGTGTCTGGCAGCGGCACAAGAGCAGAGGGAAACACGGGTACGTGTTGGACCCTTCTAGGTAAGACATACACCTTGGTTTTCTTTTTGTTCCTCGCCAGCACATCGCCCCTGACTGGCCTTCTTTTTGGGTCGAAAAGCATCTCGCTTAGATCGAGGTACTGACTCAAAAACCTTGTTTTCGGCCTTACTCCTGACCATGGCTTTGTTGCTTGAATGGTCTCGTCGCTGCGAAGACTGTTCTGTCACACCGTCCCGAACGGCATTGCCGGGTGGTCTGAAGCCTGGTGAAGATCGGTTCGTGACAAGCAGCTACAGTAGTTTGCAGTGGTACCGACCTCACACTCTGTTGTCGCGAGCCGGAGTTACTGTCTTCTCTCTGATTACCTTAAATAGAATTCTTATAATTTCATCGAGACTTTCCGAGGCCGTGCAGACGGAAGTCGTTGGCCGGCAGCCTTGTACTTTCTTTCTTCGGACCTGCCGAGTCTCGATGTGGTTGGGCGTTGACATGATGGGTCAAATTGTGGAAGACGACAGAGCACTGTCGCTCGAGTGCGAGGGAGCACGCTAGAACTGTGCATGGCATCATTGCGTGTAAAGCGCCCACTCTTCGGGATGGCCGAAGTTGAGCTTGACGGCACGAATCGGCCACAGAGCAGGTAGGCAGGCAAGAGACAAGCCAAGAGGACCCTTTTCCCGCCCTCGGTGCAGTGCATTCAATTTGTGCACCTTCACTCGACCCACTCAATCACTGCCCTGTTCATACAGCCCTGTAACTTGACCGGCGTCACTCCCATCAACCGTCCGCCACCACCTCCACTGCACTGTCTCTCTCCTCCTCTCCGTCCATCGCTGCAGCTTTTCCATCTTCGCCTTTACCTCTCGCGTCAACCTAACCATACCACCATATCTGCTTGTGCTCGTCAGGCCTAGGCACACTCTCGAACCTTACGTGTCGTCGCTCTCCGACCAAAGCCGATACCCTCGCACACGGCTGGCTCCGTCTGCGTCTGCGCACACCGAGACCTGACTGTCATACACGCACCTTGCATTGTCTTTGCATCTGTCAATTCTGCCATCCACCTCTGCGGACCACGTCATCCTGTATGCTTTCCTGAATTTGCTGCTTCAACAGCATCGCTGCGCGACGGTTCGATTCGATTCGACGACAGGCTTCCAGGTCGGACGCTTGTCTTCGCCCTGAATCATGGCGTTCGGTCAATCTTCACAATACCAGGGCCAGCCTGGCCTTGGTCACACGGGTCACCACTATGATCCCAATCATAGGCAGCCATATCAGTCTGGCCCCTCGGATCAATCCTATCTCACCGATCCTACGCATCCGGACTACGACCCTATGGTAGACCCCAACCTCCAACTGAAGACTGTCAGAACGGCTGCCGCCTCTATCGCCGAATCACACCGCTCAGAACAACGCAGAGACGAGCGCAGAAAGGCAAAGCGCGCCAACAGTCTCTCACACAAGCTCTTCCGCGGCAGGACTTTGCGCAAGCAGCAGCAAAAGGGCTCTACACTCGCCCAACTCGTCTCCGAAGAGGCCAAGAAACGTCGATCCGATGCTCCTTCCGGCTATCAGTACGACTCGGACGCTGCGTTCGCCTCTGCCCAGCAAGGCAAGGTGCCGGAACTAGCCACCATCGATGACGAGGTCCATGAAAACGAGCAAATCCACGATGCAGCACAGTCGTCGTCTCAACCCGCTGGTCCCACCATGCGCAAGATCAAGCCCAAAAAGCGAAGAAATGTCTACGTCAATCTACCGCCGCCGCTCTCCGAACTGCGGCACAATGGCGAGCCCGCCGTCGTCTATCCACGGAACAAGGTCCGCACCTCCAAGTACACTCCCATCACCTTCCTTCCTCGTTTCCTTTTCGAGCAATTCCGTCGAGTTGCCAACATCTACTTCCTAGGTCTCGTCATCCTACAAGTGTTCCCCACTTTTGGTGCTACGATCCCTCAGATCGCCATGCTGCCACTCGTTTCCATTCTCACCATCACCGCTATCAAGGATTCAATAGAGGACCACCGCAGACACGTCATCGACAACGAAGTCAACAACTCGGCCGTCACCCGTCTTGGCAGCTGGCGGAACCTCAACCAGGCCAAGGACCAACGCTCGTGGTATCAGAAGCTCTTCGGTCTTGCCGGAAGAGGCGGAAGCAAGGTCTCCAAGGGCGTCCGCAAGCTGCGAGAGAAGGAGGACGCCATCGGTATGCGCCAAGTCGGTGGCAGTTCACGCAGTCCCACCGGTGGCACCCCCAAATTCGCAGGCGACCAAGAATTTGGCGGCCGTCCCGATGCTCGCAGTCTCCGCAGCGACAGTGTGGTCAGCTCGCATGCGCTTGGCACCATCATGAGCGAAAGCGAGCGCGAAAATGGCAGCTTCTACGGCGCCAGCTACAACCATTCAAGCGCGGCGCTTAACCGCGACGCAAACGCCAGCAGTCTCTCGGTCCTGCAACCGCTCCATCCCAATGATCAGCAGCAGCGAGGAGGCCTCAGTGCCACTACCGTACAGACGCAAAGCAGCAGCGTAGAAGGCGTCGTCGACTACCGCCGAAACACACCCGGAACTGCAAGGTGGGAACGCACGCTGTGGAAGAAGCTGGAAGTGGGCGACATTGTCATGTTGCGCGAGGACGAGCAGGTTCCGGCCGATATTGTGGTGCTCAACACGTCCGATCCGGACGGCAACGCGTACGTTGAGACCAAGAACCTGGACGGCGAAACCAACCTCAAGGTGCGCAAGTCGCTCAAGGCCACCATGGGCATCCAGTCCGAAGAAGACGCCGAACATGCCCGCTTCGTCATAGACAGCGAACCGCCGCACGCCAACCTGTATAGCTACAACGGTCTGCTCAAGTATACCGTCAGCGAGCCCAGCAAAGAAGGCGATTTCGCCGATGCGCTCGAAAACTTGCCCCAGGACAGCAGCGCTTACGCAGCCGCAGAAGCTCGCTCACGCCGCGTCGAGCCAATCACCATCAACGAGCTCTTGCTTAGAGGCTGTGCCGTACGCAACACTGAATGGATCATCGGTGTCGTGGTCTTTACCGGTGAAGACACCAAGATCATGCTCAACTCGGGCGAGACTCCCTCAAAGCGCTCCAAGATCGAGAAAGAGACCAATTTCAACGTCATTGTCAACTTTCTTCTCCTCATGGTCCTTTGCACAATCTGCGCCCTGATCGGCGGATTCCGTCTCTCCAATACCAACACTAGTCGAGCTTACTACGAGGTCGGCGCAGAGCTCAGCACGAGCAACGTCGTCAATGCGCTCGTCATCTTTGGCTCCTGCCTGGTCGTCTTCCAGAACATCGTGCCCATCTCGCTCTACATCTCGATCGAGATTGTCAAAACCATTCAGGCCTTCTTCATCTACCAGGACATCGAGATGTATTATGCACCGCTCGACTATCCGTGTATGCCCAAAACGTGGAACATCTCCGATGACCTTGGCCAGATCGAGTATATCTTCTCTGACAAGACGGGTACGCTCACGCAAAACGTCATGGAGTTTAAAAAGTGTTCCATCGACGGTGTAGCCTATGGCGAAGGAGTAACTGAGGCCATGATCGGCGCCATGAAGCGCGAGGGCAAGGACACCTCGGGCTTTAGCGCAGAGAAGCAAGAGATCGAGCTGTCCGAATCCAAGAGGCGTATGGTCGACATCATGAACCGCGCCTTCAAAAATAGATATCTGCGGCCCGACAAGATGACGCTCATCTCTCCGCTCATGGCCGAGACGCTGGCTGCCGCTCCCTCGGATTCGCAGCGCAAGAACATCATCACCTTTTTCCGTGCGCTTGCTCTCTGCCACACTGCGCTCGCCGACCGACCGGACGGCAACGATCCCTACACCGTCGAATACAAAGCCGAATCGCCGGACGAAGCGGCCCTTGTCGCAGCGGCCCGCGACGCCGGTGCCGTTTTCATCGCCAAGAACAACAACACGGTCGATATCGAGGTGTTGGGTCAGCCGGAGCGCTACACGCCGCTCAAGGTGCTTGAATTCAACAGCACCCGAAAGCGCATGTCGGTCATCGTACGTGAAGCCGACGGACGCATCTTGATGATCACCAAGGGTGCCGACTCCGTTATTTACCAGCGTCTGCGTGCTGATCATCCTGAAGAGCTCAAGCAAGCCACCCATCGAGATTTGGAGGCGTTTGCCAACGCGGGTCTGCGTACGCTCTGCATCGCCTATCGCTACCTGGACGAGGCAGAGTACATCGAATGGGCGCGCATCCGCGACGAGGCCAGTGCCAGTCTCACCGACCGTGACGACGCCATCGATGAGGCGAACGAGAAGATCGAAGTCGATCTCGCCCTGCTAGGCGCCACCGCTCTCGAAGACAAGCTGCAGGAGGGTGTTCCCGAAGCCATCGAGACGCTGCACCGAGCTGGCATCAAGCTGTGGATCTTGACGGGAGACAAGCTGCAAACCGCCATCGAGATCGGGTTCAGTTGCAACCTGCTGACAACAGACATGGAGATCATGATTATTTCGGCGGATCACGAGACAGGCACCCGGGCCCAGCTCGAGGCTGCGTGCAACAAGATCGCTGCAGCCGGCAGACCCGTCGTAGTCGAGCAGCCGCCAGCCCGCAAAGGCGGTAAGGTGCGCAAGAACCGACTCACCGTCGCGCGAAACGAGCAGGCTCCCAAGGATGGCTTCGCCGTCGTCATCGATGGCGAGACGCTTCGTTATGCGCTCGATTCGAACTTGCGACCGCTGTTTCTGGCTCTGACAACGCAGTGCGAGGCTGTCGTCTGCTGCCGTGTCTCGCCGGCGCAGAAGGCGCTCACGGTCAAGCTGGTCAAGGACGGCAAGGACGCCATGACGCTTGCCATCGGAGATGGCGCCAATGACGTCGCCATGATCCAAGAGGCGCACTGTGGTGTCGGCATCGCCGGTCTCGAGGGCGCACAAGCATCGATGAGCGCCGACTACGCCATTGGTCAATTCCGCTTCCTCACTCGCTTGCTGCTCGTTCACGGTCAATTGTGCTACCACCGTATCTCGGATCTGCACAAGGTCTTCTTCTACAAGAACATCATCTGGACTTCGATTCTGTTCTTCTACCAGATCCACTCGGACTTTACGGGCTCGTATATCTTCGACTACACCTACATTTTGCTGTACAACCTCGTGTTCAGCTCGCTCTGCGTCATTGTCATTGGCGCGCTCGATCAGGTGGTCAACATTAAGGCTCTGCTGGCGTTCCCGCAGACGTACAAGCGAGGTATTGAGGGCGCCGAGTACACCAAGTTCCTCTTCTACATGAGCATGGTCGACGCTGCGTTCCAAGGTGCGGTCTGCTACTTTATCCCGTGGTGGTTCTTCACCTATGGACCCATGATCGGTCACAGTGGTCAAGAGATGAGCAGTCTCAACATGTTCGGCACAACCATCGCTGCTGGTGCCGTGACGACGGCCAACCTGTACGCCGGCATCATCGCCAAGCACTGGACCGGTGTGTTTTGGGCCGTCGAGATTATTTCGCTGCTGAGCGTTTACGCGTGGACGATGTTGTACTCGGCCTTCCCCGTGTTCAGCTTCCAAGATGTCGGCTTTTGGCTCGTCCAGACGGTCAACTTTTGGGTGATCGTCGTGCTGATCACGGTTGTCTCGCTGGTGCCACGATTCTTTGCCCGCGCCTGGCGATCGTCGTTCCATCCTAACGAGCACGACATCTTGCGCGAAGCCTGGACGCACGGTGACCTGAAGGACCAGCTGGGCATTGCACATCAGAACAAGAAGAAGGCACGACGTGCTGCTGCCGCTGCTGCGGCGAAGCACGGCTTCCACTACGATGGCGCTCACGCGGACGTCGACGACTCGTTTACGAAGAGCATGGATCGAGATGTGGAAGGTCAGACTGGCCATTTGTTCGTCGAGGCTAAGAGGTCGATGGATCGACAGCGTCATCAGCAGCGCTTCAACCTTTCGGCGGTAGGCGAGGAAGATGACAGATCCGACACCTCGGCTGACCCGCTCCATGCGGGCGAGTACGAGGATCAGTACGCTCGTCGCAATGTTGGTGGTTACGGTCAGAGCTTGCAGACGCGGACGCCTCAGCTGCAGCCTCCGTCGGCCTTCAGTCCTGCTGGTAGCTACAATCGCAACAATGGTGCTGTCTCGGGCTTGTCGTTCTACGATCCGGATTCGCTTCCGATGAGCGGTGACGCGGCGAGTCCTCAAGCTTTTGATGGCTACGACCCTGAAAAGACGCCTCGACCTGATCTGCCTACGATCCAGGTGCGCAATGCGTCCAGGCTAGGGCAGAACAATGGCTCCGGACTCGGAAGTCAGCACCCGATGCTGACGAAGCAGCCTTCGAAGGACAGCTTCACGAGGGCGTTTGACGATGAATTCGGAGTCGAATACGATCACGGCGTCAACCCGTACCCTGCTGCGGCGGGATCGAGGTCCGTGTCGAACTCGAGCTACGGTTCGGGTGTCACGCAAACCGGTGCACGAACCTACCCGGCATCGGCAACCGGTGGATCGCCGGATCGATCGAGGTCGAATCCTACTACACCTACCAAGTCGGCGATTGCCAGGTATCACGACCGGTTCACGCCACCAGCGGCTTCGGCGTCGCACTACGATTCGTCGGCGATGGCGTTATCCGCATCCCAGCAGAGTTTGACGGTAGGATCGCCAGCAGGACGTGGTCGAGGAGCGGCAGGTGGTGGGCATTCTCACGAGCTTTCGGGCGCCTCTGGGGTGTCGTGGCATACGGCGGAGGGGTCACATCAGGCGCACGAGCGGGCTGCTTCGGATGCCAAGTTCATGGCGTTCTAGGGCCAGGTGAGGTCAATGGTTATTGTGATTCTTGTATGGACTTTTTGTCTCTCTTTTCTTAGCTGTGATTTTGAAAGATGAGATGTTTCAATTGGTTGCCGATATGTGTCTGCGTGTGGTTTGAGTTGGGACGAAGGGGAGTGGCGAGCGGTACGGGGTGAAGAGGCATGGGTAGGTGGGGGGTTCAAAGTAAAACACGGGGGGGATGATGGTTGCGTGCGAAGCTGGGGAGGGTGATGTTTGCTGTTGATGTGAGAGAGATTCTGTGTCGTCATGTGTAGGAGAAACTTTAGATGGAGGGAGGGAGAATGGCGGTGAAGCTTTGTTCCTTGGGTTTACCTTGCTGGATGGGAGTCGATGAAGGATGAGACAGCGTTGCATACGAAGAACTGCTTCGTAAGTCGACCAAACTTGCAATGTTCTCATTTACGGCAGGATTGATTCGACTACGATGTATGTATTCGACGACCGAATGCACGAACGAGCAGTGTTCAGCTCTCAACGTTCCACCCACACTTTGATGTTGATACGATCAGACTTTGCACAGTGTCAAAAGGATGTCCCAGCACAAAGTAAGGTTCCGAGGTGAGACCGAACGTCAGGCGAACCCCAGAATCCAACAAAGACTCCGGCGTTTGTGCGGCGACTCAGAGACTCGAATTTGACACTGCAGATGACGGACATGACCGGTGATGAAAGAAATGATGTGGGTGGCGTAAGCTGGTGCTTGTGTTCGTGGGAGAGAGATGGTCTTTGATTGCCGTTGACAGGGGTGGAATGAAGTATGCCTTTTTATGGTTGGCCAAGACGAACGAGCTTCGAGAGTTGGGACGGCAGTCAGCCGACCTTCAGAGGTTGGTGCCTGCATGAGAGGCGGTCGGATAGCGTGGTGTGCACTTGAGCAACGGTGTTGCGGGCGGTGGAGGAAGTATATATAGAAGGAAGAAGCGGTGCTCGAGGGAGGAAGCCGTGTCCTCGAATCGCAGTACCAAGTCGATATGTTGGTCGTACTTCGCGATCCATTCGCGGCTCAAACGATGCTCTTCCATCTCCTGCTACTGTTTTGCACCTTGACGGGCGTCTTTAGCGCACCCTCTCCGCCCCTTCGATTACGCCCAGCGCCACCGCCGCTCTACCGCACCTTCCCCCCGACCCGAGTCTTCACCTCTCCCACCTCTCCCCAAACCGATTACGAATCCATCTACCGCTCCTTCCTCTCCCCCCTCAACCTCTACCATCCCAACCCCACCCACTATGCCACCGTCACCTCACCGCGCGGTCACGATCGCCTCTCCCCCCCCAGTACCCTCCTCTACCTCCGCAAACTCTCCAACGATCCGTCCTACATCTCGCCGCGCGCCGGCGAACCGCTCACCCCCATCATCTCGCGAATGCACCTGCTCACCTCCTCCCTGCACCCTACCACTGCTGCCGAACAAAGATCGTTCTTAGCCTTGTTCGAAGATGTTTCGAGACAAGCGCGGTTCGAAGTGCAGAATGCACTGCATCCCGAAAACGTTTCTGCACAACACAAGGCTGCCGTGGAGATGTTGAGGGCTAGGTATGGGCAGATGATAGGGCTGCTCAAGAGCGAGAGTAACGTGGACAAGTTGACCGGCTTGTTGGATGCGGACGAGGTGGCGAGGTTTTTGGAGGTGCACGAGTTGCTGGTTGCAGAAGAAAACTTGTTGGAGATGGTGGGGAAGAGTTATGCCGGAGCGTTCCCACGACTTTGATTGCAGGAAGAGGTATATGTGCAGCAAGTATACTCGGCGTTGACGGTGTTCATGTTGTTTCCGGTACGCCCGCGGCTTCCGGCGGTGTAGCTTCGGAAGCATGCTGCTTCAACCAAGCCTCATCATCCCACACCGCCCTGCCTTTACTCGGCTCCTTGACCTTGCTCGCATCCGTCAGATTGACCTGTATCGTTCTACCCTGTATCGCGTTCAAGTTCATATTGTCTATCGCATCCAGCGCCTCATCAGGATGAGAGAATGTGATGAAACCGAATCCCTTGTTGCGGCGTCCGAGGGGAGTGGTGGTAGCAGGTACAGAGATGGAAATGATGTCGCCAAAGGGTGCAAAGTAGGTGGAGAGGGAGGATTCATCGAGCGAGGGCGGGATGTTGCCGACGTAAATCGTTGACGAGGACATGATTCGAGGAGGACGGAGTGGCGAGGAAGCGTGGAGGTGGATGCAGGAGGAGGAGAAAGTGTTGTTCTTCGCTGCACGGTGGTACATCCCTGGGCCGACTCCCGAAGCCATGAAAAGATTGACGGCGGAAAGAGTCGATAAATTGCGTTCCAAATTCAGGCACCAGAAATCGCTGAGCACACTCAGAAGCATGCTTTGCGCAGTCGCACAAAATCAATCTACTGTATGAGCCAAACACTCTCCAGAAATATCATAAAGAAGTGGTCTGATACAATTGCAATCCTCACCGTCCACCACGAAGAAAGGTCTGATCTAGCAGCATCGCTCCACCACATCTGCTCATCCCCACAATGCCATGTGCTTCCTGGCATTCTCGTTGTACCTTCCACCGGCCACCTTGAACTGCTTGACCTTGTCGTCGAGCTTCTTCTTGGTCTCCTGGCCCAAATCGATGTTGGCCGACTCCGCGTTCTCCTTTGCCCTGCTAGCCTTGCTAGTACCCGGAAGAGGCACCAGCACGTCGCTGCTTGCGATCAACCACGCCAGACCCAACTGAGTCGGTGTCACCTGTGGGTTGTGCTGCGCTGCGAGCGTCTTGAACTCGTTGGCCAACTCGAGGTTCTTTGCGAGGTTCTCGCTCTGAAGTCTATCCATGTGGCGGCGGATGTCGTTCTCCGGGAGATCGTCAAGGCTCTTGATTGTGCCGGTCAACATACCCTTGCCAGTCGGGCTGTAGGCTAGGATGGGGATTTTGGCGCTGGAGCAGTACTCGACGATGCCTTGGTTGAAGGCTTCCAGCTCCCAAGGACTGACCTCCAGCTCGACGAATGCAACCGGTGCGACGCTGGTAGCTTCCTTGATACTGTCCAGCCCAACTTCGGAGAGCGAGATGTGCTTGAACAGGCCTTTGCCCTTTTGCTGCTTTCCCTCTGCATCCGTGTATGTTTCACTTGAGAGCGAGAGCATGTTGTACATGATCTGCTTCATCGGTACTTTGGAATCTCTACGAGCCATCTCGTACACATCGATCTCCTTGCCACCGTGATCCGTACCTAGCTGTTCCCTGATCCCCCTCAGATCGGCTTCGAGCACCTCGACCGATGCATCCGGTTGCAGACCACCCATACCAATTTCGCGATACTTCTCGACGTTGCAGCCACCTTTGATCGAAAGCACGGTCTTGTCCTTGTACTCGGGATACGCCTCATAGAAGCGTCGGAGGAGTGCGAGGTTGGCATACGGGTCGGACTGAGGACCGTAGAAAGCGGAGCTGTTGAGCAGGTTGCTGCCGGAATCGACGGCGGCTTTGATGGTTTCGAAGGCTTGCTGATCGGGGGTACGCAACGAAGGGTCGCACCAGGTCATGCCCATGCAGCCAAAGGCGATGCGTCCGATGTTGATGTGGCTGGCACTGCCGCCGAGCGAGATGGTGGGGATGGGGGACATGTTGGTGTTGGGCTTGGATGTATGTTGGAGGGAGGTGTTTGTGGTATTTGGGAGACAGGTGTGAAGGTGGTGCAAGTTTTTATGGAAGTGGGTCCGTCCGGGAGGAGGGGGAGAGAGCAACGAGCCAACTGCGTCTTACTACTGCCTGTGCCACCGGCGAAGCTAAGCTTACTTCTTCATACAAATCCCGCGTGGTCGCTACGGCGACAACTCCAACTCCACGGACACGGCATCATCTTCACCCACCCCACGCTCCACCTTCAGCTTGGCCGCCGGCTGTCACGGCTAAAAGCAAGGGTGGAGGTGGAGGTTTAGAATAGAATGTTAAGCCGGTTCAGATCAAATTCTTCGTGTAATTGTTTTGGGCGGAAATGCACGTGATGGAGTGAGTTGAGCCAGCGTCGCGTCCAAAGTGCAGTTTGTGTGTGTTTGCTGTCACAAAACTCACAACTTGGCTTGTTTTGTGTTGATTTCACTCTCTGACAGCACAGTGTGACAGCTTGCTGTTGCACCATCGTTGCTTTACCTTGCACAAATCGCCGTTGAACCGAGTGAGCCTACCATCGTCCAGGACTGATGCAAGAACGATGAGATCTGACAGAGGCTGACCAGAATGGACGCTTCATAGCGTACAGAAGCGTAAGGTTCGAATCACTCGTGGAGTGGGCGGGGAGCGGGTGCATTTTCATGTTGTGTTGGAATCTACTTTGGCCAGCGGTCGTGAGTCAAGCCTACGCAGCTCGCTTCGTTACGCTCAGAGAAGTTTGCATGACCTTGAATCAGCTGTCACACAAGCAAGCATGCACCTCAAACAAGCCTGACGCACTCTCTTGACCCGAAGAAACCCCTTCTAAGTTACCCTTCTCTTTTACGACGCAAATCAAAGTCGGTATTTACTGTTTCCTGACTTGCTCGTCAAAGCACAGCAGCGCCGTTCACACACACAGCAATCTGCTTCCCACTTTCACTCTTGACCTCACCTCTCTCTACATCGTTCGTCGTTCACTGTCCTACACTCATCCTCCTCCGACCATCCTCCTCCTTTGCCTGCGCTGCATCACCTCAAGAGGCCAGCTAGCAACAGAGCGCAGCACCATCAAGGACTCCCCCAAGACTGACCGCTCATCATCCGAGCGATCATCATCGGCACTCGTCAACATTTCAATCACCAGCATCACGACAACAACAGCAGCAAACACCGCTCCTGACTTTCAACCAACGCCAAAGCATCCTCTCTTCACACGCCAAAACATTGCTATCCTCCCTTCTATCTCATATACTGCTCACTTTAGCTCTATACCTTTGCATACTTCATCCAAATCGTTTCGAACATCATGGCATCCACAATGGCCACAGGGCCTTCTTCGTTGGCTCATCAGCTTCCCGCTCATCCTGGCTATGCTCGCACATCTGCCGCTCCCGCCATCTCCACACTTCCATCACGGCCCAGACCAGCTTCCACCGTTGCATCCAGACAACCCACAGCAAGTGCAGCCCCAGCACCTGCAGCCGCGTCTTCCAAATCCTCGTCAAAGAAGCCCACCCTTCCGCCTCCTCCGAAAGTCATCATTGATTCGGAGGGACGTGCCTTTAAGCGGGGAGACCTGCTCGGTCAGGTAAGTTTAGCATCCACTCTTCCCTTCCTCAATCCACCGTCTCTGACACCCTCCACCTCCTCTTTCACTTGAACTTCATAGGGAGGATTCGCACGCGTCTATATGGCAGTCGACCCAGAGGGACGTCGCAAAGCCTTCAAAGTCATCGCCAAATCCGCCATCGCCAAGTCGCGCAAGAACCGTCAGAAGATCCTCGCCGAGATCATGATCCACAAATCCGTCGACCACATCCACGTCGTCAAGTTCGAAGACTGCTTCGAAGACGATTCCAACGTCTACTTCCGACTCGAGCTGTGCGCCAACGGATCGCTCAACGACATCGTCAAGAAGCGCGGTCCCTACACCGAGCCCGAAGCACGCTATCTCATGGTTCAGATCCTCGCTGGAACTCAAAACTTGCATTCCAACAGCATCATCCATCGCGATCTCAAGTTGGGCAACATCTTCTTGGACGAGAAGATGCACGTCAAGCTGGGAGACTTTGGTCTCGCTGCGCTACTCAAGCATCCAGAGGAAAGGAAGAAGACCGTCTGCGGTACTCCGAACTACATCGCACCCGAGATCCTCTACGATCAGGGTCAGGGACACAGCTTCGAGGTGGACATTTGGAGTGTCGGTGTCATCATGTACACGCTCTTGGTCGGAAAGCCTCCTTTCCAGACGCCCAAGGTGGATGAGATCTACGAGAGGATCAGACAGAACGCGTACGAGATCCCCGTCGGGGCAGGGTTGAGCGCCGAGGCGGTGGATCTGATCACCAGGATCCTGACGCACAACCCATCTCAGAGACCGACGTTGGTTCAGATCATGAACCACGCTTGGTTTCAGTGCGGTCCTGTGCCCTTGACGATACCCCCGACCAGCATGGAGGGTACACCTTTCCTGCCACCCCTTACTGCGAGGGAGAGCGCAAGGAATTTGGAACTGCTCAAGAGGCAAGCTGCGTGGAACGACCGCGCCGACGATCTGCTCGAAGACGTTCTTACCGCCGGAAACAATGCCGTCGGTTCGTCACCCGAGACTTATGCGGATGCGAACGATGAACCGGTCGAAGTCGTGGTCGACGCGAGGAGCGAGTTGGAGCAGGCGGAGCAAGCCGAGGAACGACGCGAAAAGATGGACCGCGAGTTCCACCACGCCATCCAACCCGAATCCCCCATCTCAGCGCTGCTCAAGGCAGGTCGTCAACCGCTCATCAAGGCACCAGCTCCGCCTCCGCAAAGCTTCGCCAGGTCGACTGCAAACAGCTTAGCGAAACAGCTGTCGAGCCTGACGCTCAACAGGTCAAGTGCATCGGGGGACAAGGAGAACGCCAATCCGATGGCGCCCCCTCCCGCTGCGGCTGGTGGTGCGGGTCGATCCGAGTTTGGCAGGACGTATTCGCGAAACACAAACGTCGCTCCAGCGCAAGATGAGAGGGCTTTGCAGCAGAAGACTCGTCTTGTAGCGACCACCACCCCCATCACCACCGCATCTACCGGATCTGGACTCACCCGTCCCCCATCCACCGCATCCTCGCTCAACGACGCGGCGCTCCCCACCTCGTCCTCGCGCACCACGCTCGCCTCCATCGGCTCCTCCACCGCCCTCGCTCCCGGCGCCAAGAAGACCAAGACCTCGATCGAAGTCATCATCTCCCACCTCGAATCTGCGCTCCTCTCGCTCGAATCCAACACCCCCTACATCGCCCCCGCCAGCTCCGCTGTCGAGTCGATCTCGTTCGTCTCGAAACCGTGCGAACTCAATGGCACGCGTTTGCACCCTGAATCACCCCGCACCTTCCTCATCTCGTGGCTGGACCATTCGGAACGCTATGGACTCGGATACGCCTTGTCGGACGGAACGGTCGGAGTGTACTTCCGGGATGCTACTTCGATGATCCTTTCGGCGGGGAAGAAGAGTGTCGACTACATTTCGACGGTTCGAGCATCGAAGACGACATCCGCGAAAACGGATCAATTGAAGCGGGAGAGCTTCTCGCTTCCGTCGGCGGTGGTGGAGGAGGGAAGTGTTCCACGGGAACTCCACTCGCGCGTCCGGGTGATGAAGTACTTTGAAAAGGAGATCATGGATCGTCTGTACGGCGCTGATTCACCGCTCACGTTTACGGATACCAAGTCTACGGGTATGACGTTCGTTCACAAGTGGTACAAGACCAAAGACGCCATCGTCTTCCGTCTCAGCAACGGCACTGTTCAGCTCAACTTCTACGACCATACCAAAGTTTTCCTCACGCACGGTGGTCAGGTGATCTCGGTGATCGAACCGCTGGATAAGACGGGTGGAGTGCCGAGGATGACCAGCTGGACACTGGAGGAGTTTGTGAGCATCGCGAGGGGAGATAGGAGTGCGAGGGAGGAGCAGGGGGTGGAAGAGGGGTGTGTCAGGACGAAACCGGTCGAGAGGAGGAGGGTGAGAGGGTTGGTAGGGAAGGTGAGGTATGCTGTGGAGGTGCTGTGCACGACGGTGCAGGGGGCGAAGAGAGCAGGGGGTGGGTTGGTGAGGAGCGAATCGGGGGCGACGGTGGCCACGGCCAACTAAACTCTGCGCAGCGTAGACGCTTCTCATCCCACACTCGACAGAATCCTTCCTGGCTACCGGTACATACATGATCTCTCTTTTTTTGCGCATCGTTTCACAACTTCGTTCTTCGCACACAAACACATTTCTAGCTTTCGTAACATTTTCTTATCTTATCATGTCTCTTATCATTTCATGCTCTCATGTCTCTGTTTCAATGCTTCCAGTTGTTTCGTCTTTGTCCGCATTCTCCGGAGTTTGTGCGTGTTGGAATGTGTCTTGGAATTCGTGTGGGAGAGGCGAGGTTGAGTGAGAGAGAGATGCACAGCAGTGATTCCTGATGCACAAACCGCTTTCGCTACTGTACGACCCAGATTACGGCTTCTGGTCGGACGAACAGCTGCACCGTCTCCTGCTGGCATTTCGGCTCTTCCCTCGTCATCGCGCCGGGGAAAGGGTTTTCCGGGTTCAGCGCTTGCCAGAGCTGTTTGCGTCTGACCAAGCGGTGTGGTGATTCCTCCTTGCGCGGAGCATCCCGAGGTGGGGAAAAGTAGCGGATTCCATCGAGAATCCCGTCTTGAGAACGGAGGAGTGAGGTAGACGTAGGGGGTGGGGTGGGGAGCGGGAGGGTGATCCCCACCCATATTCCGGGGTGGGTGTGGATGGGGCCTAGGTAGTGCACGTGTGCACGGTGTTTGCGGTTCGCTTGCGCTGATGGTCGTAGGGGTTTGGGAGATGGTTTGGCTGCAGCAGTGCGGGTGGTGCTGGTGGAAGGTTTGACTGTTGCACGCGTGGCGATAGATCGCTTCGGCTGCACCGGCGCCTTCCCGACGCCGCCTTCACCCGCAGTCGGAAGTGACACAATACACGCAATTCCAATTCTCAACCTTATCCCCCCACCCCACACCTCCCCCTCTTCTTTCAGCACAATCGTCCTTTCGCTCTCACTCCTCTCCACACCCGCCATCTTGGCACTCTCCACCCTCTCCACTGCATCCACCGGCATCCTCACCTCCTCACCTCTTCCTCCACCCCGACCCGTATTGGTCGGAGTGATCGATCTAGCACTACCCGGCTTACGACTTGAGCCGTTGCTGAGCGTACGAGCACGGAGGTCCGCTCCGGAGTCGGTGGAGGAGAGCGAGAACGTTCCGCCGGGTAAGGGGGTTGCGCGGAGGAAGGAGGATTTGTGCGAGAGAGCGGGGGTCTTAGTGGTGGGTTTGATGGAGGCGCTGTCGAGAGAGACCGCTGGTTTCGGTTCGGTGGTGGGGTGATGGGGGAGGCTGGTGGCGGAGCGGATGGGACGGATGGTTTTCGTGGGGGTTTTGTTAGGATCCGAAGGGATGGCGCGGGTCGGAATGGCTGATTTGCTGGAGGGGGTAGTGGCGGGCGGGGTGGGAGGAGCTGAAGCG